GGTAAACAGCGATACGACGTCCAACGGAATCAATACACAATCGGTAGGAATACTCTTGCATCTTAGTTGTTCAACCAACTGAAAACTATTATTAACATGGCTCTCTGGTCGTGGAATAGAGTCATTTATTAAATCGTGTAAAACAAGCTAAATTATATAATGGCGTGTTAATCGACGAAACGATAATTCTTAGTGGATATCCGGTTTGTGGATTTTTGGCAGACCATAAGCTTGTGCAGAACACCGTCAGTGCAATTGAGATTCCTATACCTCGCTTCAGAAATATATTCACGCTTTTTCCATCTCGTGAGCAAATCGTGTAGACTTCTCATTACTTTTTTGATCGGATCTTTTTTAATTTTAATATAAGTATTATTGTCAGAAAGAAGCACATTCATTTTCTGAACATAATCACTCCTATTCAATGCTACCGTAATATTACCCTTATCAGCTCGTGTAAAAGTCAAGTCAGGATGGTCTTTTAAGAAGTGATGCGTCAACGTTGCGGCTTTGATCAGTTCGTTGTCTATATGTGATTTCTTAAACAAATAATTACCCGAATTATTTATGATGGACATTATACAATTCCGAACAGTAACTCGAGAATAATCAGGAAGTCTGTCTATATTATAATCTGTTGATTTAATAAACTTAAAAATAATTTTTTGTTTATTACTACTCGGAAGGCAGAATTTTTCACCGAGTTGCACAAGCCCTTGTACTTCTGCCGGCACTTGAGAATCCGACAAATTAACAAACCAACCTTCACGTAAATCTAGTGGTTAGGGTTATCTGTAAAATCATGCGGATTTATAGTGATCTCTATGGAGTTAACATTTTTAGTAGGAGAAAAGAGGATAAGGACAAATTCGTCCAAATTTGTCGAGTGTTTTGGTCAGATGTCGTTATTGAGGAGAATCTGCAGTAATATTTACCGTTTTAATATTATTAATAATATTTCTATTATGTTTGTGAAGAAGCCACTGGAATTTCTTTTCTAATCTATTACGTTCATTCACAAAATGGCAGTAGAGAGATCTATTTTGTGTATGAAAAAAATTATCACATAGCATAATAGGTAATGCAACCGTAATCGACCGTATTAGTTTGTAATTAAGAGTACGTAAATGTCTATGTGTTTGTGTGTGTCATATATCTCGTTACGTGTCATATTCATCACAAATCTACGTATTATAATGTCAAATTTTTTACATTATAATACGTATTTTTTACGTTATAATACGAGTGCTTAGTCTTAATAATATAGTTCGTCGAACACCGTAATAAGATACTGATATTTCGGATAGTGTTATGTACCTGCGATAACTTGCTTGCTATTGTTTTATTTAAGTATGTATAAATCTTTACACGCTTTATGTACTATAAAATTCGAAATTTCATATTGTATTAATTTCTTAGATGCTGAAGATGGTCTGAACTAGGATCGAAACGTACGAATAAACGATTCAATTTATCATTATGTGTTATGCGTATTAAGAACCACGCTCTTAATTGGCCCTGTTTACCGCACTTCATATTTATTATAAATATGTTAAATTATTATGATACAGTTTTTTTTTTAATTTATATTTTTTTGAATAAATACTCAGTAAGAAATCATGAGTTAAAAAGACATACAATCAACCACTTTTTTAATCAAACAATGGGTTAATATAGTCTAATATAATTTGGTCGATTGTTGATGTTTTGTGTTTTTCAAACTCTATTAGCCATTTATAAAAGTTAAAAATGTTTATAAGACATATAACTTATTAGACATTTATTTTAAAATAAAATATAAAATTATAATAAACACTGAATATACTTAGGCAACAGAGTAGTTTAACAAATAATTTACGTACACATCAATATATACGTAAATTTATTTGTTAAAAACATTCTGTTGCAGAATGTAGTTCAAAAAGAGAATTAATTTATAACATTTTTAATTTTATAAATTTCCGTTTTGGCCAGCCTTATATAATTCTTACGATGAAAATCAAATACGAGAAAGAAACGTCACATAGCGGTAAATGAAAGAACTAACAATTTAGTTAAAAAATATTTACAAAATAATTACTATAAATATTTATCTTTATATATCATAAATATTAATGAAATATTTAATATATGTTTAATATGTTAAATAAAGTTTTCATAAAAGATTTTCAAATATTTATATAATATTTGAAAAAAATATATATTCATAAATATTTATATAAATTTTTATCATAAATATAGTATGCTGTCTGAGACACATAAATGTATTGTTTGTAAAATGCATTTCTTTTTATTTAATATCTTACTTTTTAGTCATGTCAAAAGGGATTTAAATACAGAATTTTGTTGCAAATATTTCGCCTATAGTGATGAAGTCATATAATTATATTCATAATTTGTAGTTTTCCTTATGGAAATTTAATACTGTAATCACTGAAAGTTCATTAATTAATTGCTAGAAATTACTATATATCAGCCAATTCAGTACTCAAAATAAGTGATTAATTGTACTTATAGTAATAAATTTCCATACGGATTATGAGACTATAGATACTCATACACAGTGTAACTTATATCTTGATAGAGTTCATTAAATATATATTTACATGTATATAGGGTGTCTTATTTTAATTGCTCATCTTGAATTTTTCGAAACATTGCATTTTTGAAAAAATATTCCAAACAAAAGTTGTATGGGCTAAAGGAAACAAATAATTGTAAAATTAATTTTGAAAAAAAATATCCAAAAAAAAATTTTTTTCCAGGAGCATCTCCATGTAAGAAGTAGTTCCTAGCTTTAATTTTTCTTTCCATTTTTGGCATATTAAACTTCAATTATTTGAAAACTTGACGTACTGGTGAAAATTTATAAAAAACCTTGATTGGTTAAAATAATAAAACATATAATTTTTTGTAAAGTAGTGTTATCTTTGTTAAAATAAAAAATATATTTGAGATTATTACAAAAGTGTCGCCTCCTAATATTTTCTATTATTGTGAAAAAAAATAAATTTTTTATAAAAAATATTTATGCAGTAAAAATATACCTATAGCTATTGAAATATGTTTTTATACAACATGTGCCATGTTTATAGATTAGTTATTAAACAAAAAGTTATATTATGGAATTATTTAGGTTAAAGAAAGTCTGATTGTATTGATTCTAAAGTCTCTTGTAAAAATTAAAAACGTTATAAAAGTTTTACACATTTATAAAAAATATGTAAAACTGCACAAAAGTTACATCTCACCGATTTTATTGCCAAATATATTTTGTTTCACTCTAACTCACTGCACCAATATGCACTAGTTTAGCAGCAACGGTGCAGCAACAAAGAACAAACCCTTATTTAACAATAAGTGGCGATAAAATCGGTGAAATGTAACCTTTTATGCATGTTTATAAATAATTATATATAATGTAATTATATACGATATAATATAATATTATAAATTTATTCTTGCTTTATAGCGAACGCAGCAAAGGCGTTGTACTTTTACGGACCTATGGGTATCACTGTTATCTGCAATATTTGTTTATTCATCTCTACGGCATTAAAGATCGTGCGCCATAAAAAAGACACAGCTCATCATCTAAGAGGTTCGGAGAGTCAGCGTCACGATGATAATAAACAATGGTTTGTATTAAATATTTCCTTTTTGTTATTACCGATAATTTGTCCTGATAACGAAATATATATATTTCAATATATCTGTTTGCAAATACGGATAATGTATAATGTCAATCGGTTCTCGTTCCTAAGATGATTATTTTTAGACGGCAATTTTCCCATGCGGAGGTTTGCTTTGATAATTGCGAAATCTTTTATAAAAACAAACACATCGCCGCCGTTTCGATAGCGTGAACGGAATTTCTTGAGAGCATCTGCGGATTCTCCAAAAGATGACAAACGATAACACTAAAACGGATAAAATAAAACGTATAAATTTATAATGAATTCGTATTTTGTAAAAACAGAAATCATATTTCTTAAGGTTTCTCTGTCTCTTCGTTAGACCATACTGATATAATATATGATATGAGAACCCAGCCAAAAATGAATGATCAAATTGATGTCAAATCGATATCGATTTGACATCGATTTATCTAATCGACGTTGATTCAACGATGAATCGACGTCGATTCGATATCATTTCTGGCTGGAAAGTGAGAAATCATATGATTTCCATGCAGCACACAAACGTTGAATCAACATCTCGAAAACGTTACCCTGCAATATTACAATATTGTATAAATATTATAAAATGTAGATTCAATATTAAGAATATGTTGCAGAAATGTCTAATGTTTGCTGAATTGCAATGTTGTGTAGACGTTGTTTCAATATTGTAGCAATATAAAAGAATCAATATAGAAGAACAACATAGATTCAATGTTGTAGCAATAACGTTGTTTCAATATTGTAGCAATATAAAAGAATCAATGTAAAAGATGCAACATACATTCAACGTTGCAAAAATATTAATATTTCAATATTCAACATTGCAACGTATCAACAACGTTATTTTAACTTTTTGTGCTATATGGGATTTTTCTTGCAAATTACATACCGATATAAATAAGTTTTTTTGAATACAATTACTTATGTTAATAATAATTAGTAAAATACTCTTTTTTGATTATGTAATTTGCAACTAGCAGCTACGTATTTTTTTAAAAGCCTTTGTTTTCTTTACAATCGATTTCTCTCAATTATTTTGTGCATAAAAGTATTAAGGTGAGATCATCAGAAAATAAATACTTTGACGAGATATTTTATAAAGATTATGTCAAATTAAAATATAAAATATCTCATAAAGTATTCACTTTTTGACCATATACTATAACCATAACTTTTTATACAGAATATTGCGAGGAATCGATTTATATAAAAAAATTTGGTGGTTCTATTTAAAAAATTTAAGATAATGTTATTCTGACCTTAACAATGACATTTAAAGTTAAAGTAATAAGATCCATAAATAGATATTTTTAAACCCTACAATTTTCATTTGAAATATTTTTTCTAAAATGCATTGTTTACAAGATATTTGACTGTAAGCACACACAATGATGATTACTACAATGTATATAAATCGTCATAAGCGTAAAAGATACAAAAACAAATACATATATTCACTTGCAGGTTCAATCTATATTTGAAGCTGTTTATCGTGATGGGCATAAATTGGTCTATGGAAATAGTGTCGTGGTTGTTCAAGGATGCAGCACCAGAATACATCTGGTATCTTACCGATCTGACAAATACTCTGCAAGGACTCATTATTTTCATCATTTTTGTGTGGAAGGAGAAGATCAAGCGACTGTTGCTGAAACGATTTGGTTGTCAGACTCGCGGTCCATTTTCTAGAAATTCGACACGAAGCGGTTACCTTAGCTCGGCTTCGCGTACCTGTACCACTACGTCAGGAGTGATTCCCCTGCAGGAAAAGATTAGTCCTTACGTGCAAGGGAACTGTCGTGGTACGAAGAATTCATCTGACGAAGCTGATCCTTAGATCGGGATTCATAATCAGTTCTAATATTTAAGATAGTTTTAAGTACAATCTTAAGATGTCACTAACCACAGAGTCGTATCAACATCTTAAGAGAATGCTGAATAAGATTTGTTTTATCGATAAATCTTTATTGGCTATACAGAATGAAAAATCTTTTACTATAAAATTAAAGTATCCATAATAACAAATCTGGTCTATTATATGTATATGTATATAAAAAGAAACCAAGAAAGTTAAATAATTACAATTTTCTTATCGGTTAAGTTAGATTTACCCAATGCAAGAATCGATAAATTTTGTAAACAATATAATTATTTAGCTTTCTTGTTTTTTATATATAGTAGCCCAGATTTGTTATTATAAATACTTTAATTCTAGTAAAGAATTTTTCATTCTGTATAGCCAAGAAAGAGATAAATAAAAATAATATTTGTCGATAAAATAGATCTAGTCAGCATCCCCTTAAACGCGTCTGATCTTAAATACGTCTGTTTTATCGATAAACGATCATTTTTTTGCTCGTTTTCCTTTTTATTGGTTTAATAGAATAATAAACATTTTTCACGTATTCACACACGCGCACGCGCGCGCGCGTACACACACACGCACATGCGCACACGTGTGTGTGTGTGTGTGTGTGTGTGTGTGTGTGTGTATACAGGGTGTCCCAAAAAGATCGGAACACTGAAAAATCTCGAAAAATATACGGTTTGCAGAAAAAAGTTTTAGACAAAGTTGTAGGGTTTAAAAATTTATTTATTGATCTTATGAGTTTGACCTTGGGTGGCGTTACGATGGTTAGAATAAGGTCACTTTGAATTTCTTAAATGGAACCCTATATTTCTTATTAGATATTCTTGTAGCTTACTTCGAGAACTTTTCAAAACACTATAATTAAGTTATTTTTTATAAGATACTTTCCGAGTTACAAAACTTGAAATTTACAGTTCTCAAAGGCTTGCTGTGATTACAATTCTAACAAATTTTAAAAATGAAGACGAATGGAAGAAGAGTCCGTATGTAAGGATGTTGAAGAATACGAAAAACCTTATTATTAAATAATTCTTTAACTTTCGCGATAGACATTATACAAAATATTGTATGTGACATGTGCGGAAGACAACGAATATACATCGCGCGTAAAGTTGCCACATTCGCCTCAGCTTATGATGCATTCACACACGTAATCATGTGGTTACAGCACTCGCCTTCAGCTCGTGCTGCAAATCACGACTCGTACTCGTGTGATTGCATCATAAAATTTCGGCTTATGCAGCAACTTCACGCGCGACATAATTCGTTCTTTTTCACACTTGTCACATAAGATACTAACTCTATTCAACCAATAAAAAAAAAGCATGTAGAAAATTGTTTTATTATTTTATCGATAAAACAGACGTGTGTTTAGGATTACTTTGATATTATTTAAGACGGTCTTGAAATGAGAAGGAACTATGAATACCAGCCTTAATGCCAAAAAAAGTTTGATCGTAAATCAGGGATCAATGGTTAACCAGCAGTTAACTGTGCCATAATTTAATTCTCCAATCGAAGATTAATTTTACATTATTATTGCATTGATCTCTATTTATTTAAAACATGTTTGTTTCTCTCCCTTTTTCTCTCTATTTGCTTATTTTATATTATCGAAAAGTATACCTAAATCTTTCTTTAATCTTCTTTTTACGGTTCAATAAATATTTTGTTTTTAAATTTTTATAGCATATACATATATATATATATATATATATATATATATATATATTAGCATTGTGCAACATTATAATCAATTATTTTTATCATTTATAATGTTTTGTAAAATTCATAAGATTTATATGCAACTATCAATTACTAAATTATTATTGCAGCAGATAAATATAAACTATCATTGTTATATTAAGGATTGTAATAAAAAGCTCGTGCGCGCACGCATAAGTCACATACTTTTTGTAATTTTAATGTTTAAATGTTAGTTAATAAAAATATAATTTTGTGAATAATTTTTTAAATCTAATGTTATGATGCACAAATATCTAAACATGATGCGCATACTTCGAGTATGTAAAAATTAGTTTATCTATGTACAATTTTTTATAATTATGTCAAGCAGAAAGTATTTGATGACTTTGAGACATAATAATTTTTTTAAATAAAACCGTCGATACATTGACTTGATTTGAAAGTAACAATAGGGCACATAATACTTACAATCAGTAGAATATAAATTACTCTTTATTTATTCGTTTGTAATAAAGTAAAAGCTTATTGTATATTACGTATTATGGTGTTATATATATCGACTGCCATATATAGATATATAATATAATAATTTTGCTTCAATATATACAAATATTATTGTATATATATTTTAAACGATGTTTGATAATATCGTTTTGATAAAAACATAGCGAGCAACAATTTTATTAAATTTAGCTTTAAATATACATTATACAATCACTTTCTTTAATGCATATTTTTTATATATTCATTTTTAAAATATTTATTTTGTATTAATATTTGTCTTTATTTCTATTGTATGTTTAATGTTAATTCAATTTTAAAATACCAAATATATACTTATAATAAATGTATAAAATACGTATGTATTTTAAATATATATTTATATAGATAAACAAAATAATTTCTATATGTCATTTTTTTGTCGCAATAATATTTATTATATGAATAATATTTATTATATGAATTAATTATATAATATTTATTATATAAATGTCAATAATCTATATATATTAAATCAAATTATCTTCTTAAACATTCGATAGTATTACAATATATGGTCCCTCATTAATTTATTTTATTGGCGCTTTTTTTTTTCTGATATTACTAAAGTGGTCATAATAAATTGACGAGGAATTATAATATTAAAAATCCTTGCGCTTGAACGTTATTAAGCACATTAATATTTAATTCTAAAAATTTATTTATATATTAAAATAATAGTAAAATAAAATAGATTTTATCTATATATAAAATTATATATAAAGTTTTCCAAAATGATACTTAGGTCCTTGAATAAGTTCTCGCTGTTTCTTAAAAGATGGCGTAGCGGCACTCTGTGCATGGAATTTCGTACGGAAACGCATCAGCTAAGTAGTACTATATGTAACCTCAAATTCTAGTAGATACAGTTTACCACAGTGTCAACCACGTGTTTAATTACCTATTGCGAAAATGTCTACTTTTGTGCCAAAAAAGTGTTTTTGCGGGAATTTTATTGCACTGCTTTATTCAAAAGAAATCTGCAGCTGAAGCACACAGAATTCTTGTTGAAACATATGGTGACAATGCTCTGTCGAATACGACATGCAGAGACTGGTTTAGGCGCTTTAAAAATAATGACTTTGACCTTGAAGATAAAGAACGTTCTGGAGCACCGACAAAGTTTGAAGACGAAGAATTGAAGGCATTGCTTGATCAAGATCCATATTAGACGCTAGTAGAGCTCGGGAAAACATTGCAAGTAGATGCGTCAACAGTTTCAAAACGTTTAAAAGCGTTAGGAATGATCCAAAAGCAAGGACATTGGGTGCCGTATGAGTTGAAGCCGAGAGACGTTGAACGACGTTTTCTCATGTGTGAATTGCTGCTTCAACGGCATAAAAGAAAAGGTTTTATGCGCCGTATCATCACTGGAGATGAAAAGTGGATTTACTACGAAAATCCAAAGCGTAAAAAATCGTGGGGTACGCCCGGTCACGCATCAACATCGTCTTAAACCAAATATCCACGGTTCCAAGATTCTACTCTGCATTTGGTGGGATCAGCAGGGCGTAATTTATTATGAGCTGCTTAAACCTAATGAAACTATCACGGGAGCTCGCTATCGACTTCAGATGATGCGTTTGAGTCGAGCTCTAAAAGAAAAGCGGCCACTATACGGGCAGAGACACGACAAAGTGATTTTGTTACATGACAATGCTCGGCCACATGTGGCAAAACCAGTCAAAACTTACCTGGAAACGCTTCAATGGGAAGTTCTACCTCACCTGCCGTATTCACCGGACATAGCCCCCTCGGATTACCACTTGTTTCGGTCGATGGCGCATGGTTTGAGCGAGCAGCGCTTCCATTCTTTCGAAGAAACCGAAAAATGGGTCGATTCATGGATTGCGTCAAAAGATGAATGTCGTTTTTTCGACGGGGGATTCAATTACTGCCAGAAAGATGGGAGAAAGTGGTCTCTAATGATGGATAATACTTTGAGTAAAGTTATTGTAAGCCTTATATTTAAATAAATGTTTTTTTTAACAAAAAAAACAGCGAGAACTTATTCAAGGTCCTATTTTAGTAATCATATATTACAAAACAATAAAACATATATGTTTTTACTTTTGTATGTTTTATAAAATATATATTTTTATCTATCAGTAAAGTAGGGCCGATGTAATTGGCCGACGGCACACCTTCGGCGCGGAAAGCGGGAGATTCGCGAAGACACAATAATTTTTGTTTGCTTGGGCGCCAGCGCGAGATTCGCGCCACTCTAAAAATTCATAACTAGAAAAGACCTTTCGTAAAGCTTAAAACATCCGAAAGTTCCGCGACAGCAATACTTGACTCGCTCAGAACGTCAGGGGGTAGAGGGGGGAGTTCGGACGGGAGAGAGAATGGAGTTCGAAAGTGACTATTTAGAATTCCCAAAGTGTAATATAATTGAATATATTTGAATAATGATGCGAATGAATAACAAAAAAAATATAAATGTTAGGGTAATATTGCATACAAAAAAATTAATATTCTTGAAATAAGATATTAATTAAATTCCGCGCACTTGTCGTTCGTGGCGGGCGGCGAGTTTTATAGGACGCCGAAATCCAAAGCGATTGAAATCAAATAGTACAGTCGTAAAGATAGGTACAGCGACAGTACGGCTCACACGTGGCGCGGTGTTATGATTCCGCGACCTTTTGACGACCTGACGCGGAGATATCCGGTTACACGCGGAACCTGGGAGTAAACTTGCTCGTATACGTGGCGAATAATTATTCACGCACGAAACTTAATATGGTCCGTGCGAAGTAATTGATTCTAGTAACTGCGGAACTACACAATCTCCTGTAAACTATAATATGTTCCGTGCGATTTATTCCTGATATCTATTCCGCGGGACGTCCTTCGCGCAAGTACACAAAA